GCCGACTACTACTGCTGTTGAATACTGTATATAGGTGTTGGTGCTTGGCTGAGACCGTGAAGCCTCTCGTTGATAGCTGCCTCTCTGAAGACTCACTCACAACAGGTATGTTGATGACCACCTATCACTATCTTCTCTCGGTACTCCTACATAACCTTTACTTGACTCTTGTTCTAAAGAATTTCGGAATATCACTAGCATAATTCGACGATAATCGTCTACGTTGTATATACTACATTATCACTGGCAGGATATCAGCACTGAATTATCACCATTCACGTGCTCTCTCTATCGTCAGTATTCCCAACACAACGTCTGCCTTCTTCCACAGATTCCATATTCGCTTTACGATGCCAACTTTACTTATGAAGGTTTTTGCGGAGAAGCCAGACGAAGATCCCAATGTTGACATTAAATTCGGATACTCTCACGTAAAGTCTCTTCCCTCCCTATATTGCTAATCTTACTCTCAAGATCCTCGTCTATGGTGTGTCGGCGGTCCTTGGAGGCGTCTTTGCTTGGAACAAACAGTTCACCATCCACAACATGTTCGGTAGCTCCGTGGTGTTCCCCTACTTCCCCGACAAGCGGCCTTTAGGTGTCTCCTTCTGCATTCAAGCGATCCGTCTCGTATCCCTCCATAAGTTCTCAGTAGCTTTCATCCTCTTGGCGGGCCTCTTCGTCTATGACATATTCTGGGTAAGCCTCAGTTTTGGAGTGAATATCAACTTCCCTAGGCTGAGCTCATGTGTTGACTGCTTAGATGGTAGAATTCGCACATGACTTAGGGAGAATGTATAAAAACAACATGAATTCGCCTTTCATTTCATTGTTGTCATCAGCACATGTTAGTCCGTATTCTCGCCAACTGTTAGTGTTTCTCTTGACAGGTTTTTGGAACTGAGGTGATGGTTTTCGTGGCCAAGTCGTTCGACGCCCCTGCCAAGATTATCTTCCCGCTTTCCTTTGATCCCTGGAAGCAAGGAATCCTTGGCCTCGGCGACATCGTCATTCCTGGCATCTTCATAAGTCTCAACATGAGGTCACATATCTACAATACTCCACAGCTACCGCATGCCCTTACTGATAGGTTCGATTACCATCAGGATCAGGTCAAGAACAAGAGGGCCGCTGAGCGTGATGTGGACATCCATCGTCCATTCCCGAAGCCGTATGCATCATCGGGAGACGTGTTGTCTTGTCAGACTTTGACTCTAGATACTACAACAACGTGTTGATCGCTTATCTCCTCGGCCTTGCTACTACGGGGATCGTCATGCAGGTTGGCGTCTCTGCCCTTTTCCGTGTTGAATTCAATCGTTTCCAGGTTTTCAATGCGGCTCAGCCGGCTCTGCTCTATCTGGTGCCTTTTACAGTGACTGCTGCCTTATTGACGGCATACAGCCGAGGTTGGTGATGAAGGTGTGGTCGTTCGAGAAGAGTTGTTGTCAGGTGAATTGAAAGAAATGATGGAGTACACGGAAGGGGAGGAAGAAGAGAAGAAGAAAGAGGAGAAGAAGGAGAAATGAGTTTTCGATGCCTTTCGCGATGAAAGGTTGCCGTTTTTATGAGGATCTCAATCAGTTGTGCCGGGTCGTGTTGTAGAGTACGGAGGATATGTAAGGGGAGCTGAAATATACTTATCGAGTGAATCGGCGGAGTTTAAAGACGCCCATTTAATTGTGATTTGGACATAAGCCAATCATCCTATCGATAGGCACAAGTCGGCGGCATATGCTCAAGCACATGAACGGCCATCGTCTGGTACTCTCCTCAGCTAGTAGACGATAGTTCACTTTATCACTGACATGTGTGGTTACCACACATGTTACCACACTGTGGTACAACCTTAGCGCTCATAACGATAGTTGACACTCATATGATAGTTGGAATTGTTGTCAGGCCTCGAGGGGCCCAGGAGTACCAACATGGACCAATAGGAGGCACTCCGCCATGACTCATGATATAAACCTTACAACATTCCTTACTCACATGAGTACGAAGTCCTTCCTGTCTGTCTTCACATTGTTGTGTCACTGTAGTTATATTGTTCTCCGGTCAGAAGCTTAGTTGTTTCGAACGTTGGAAATCTTCGTTTGCCCCGTAGATGTTATCTTCGAACCTGCCGCTTTCATAAAGTGAACTCGAAGTAATGGAGACGACGCCGACCTCAATTTTGTGATATTTTCTTGTGCTGTACCAGGCAAGAACAGTATATCACTATGCGAGTCAAGTCCTAGAATAACATAGGAGCCTGAAACCAGCCATCTTTCCTGCCCCTTACTGAAAGGGGCTGGTCGTTGCAGTTCTGAGATTAGGTGGGGGAAGTCTTGCAGGAATGCCATCAATTCGAAGGTCGACCACTCGGCGGATAGGGTTCTTTCGAACTCAACTCATTTACTCGCTAGCCATTGGACCAACAAAACTATGGTGGAACATTCATATGGAAACATTTCTCTACTCCGACTTTTGAGAATTTTCCAATCTCGTCACCAAACTGGCTTTGCCACGAACGACGGCACCATCTGCGGACTGAAAGAATGTCAGACATTCGTAACCTCAACGACTTACATATCAACAGCCTCATAGCAATCGACAACATAAGCATCAAACCAACATTCCAAAATAGATGTGGTCCCGGCGATATCGCCCGACCATACAGCCATAGACCCCCAGCGTTGCTCATCTGTAGCAAGGGAGACAGTGATTGTGTTCATGTGACGAAGTGCTACTGTGAAAAGAGCCAAAATATTTGCAATAAATCTTCCTCTTTGACCAGCGGGTAGGACCTGTTGTTGACGACTGGTGCAGAGCACTATCAACATGATGATTTTACTCTCTGCTGTATTGAATTGAAGAAAACCGTGAAGTGGTTGTTGGAGGCAACCACGAATACCCAGAGTACACACAAACAGACAGCATAGGATGAGGGACTGGTGAATGCTGGGAATGATGATACCTGATCAGAAGACGACCTCCTCATCCGACTGCGATGGGACTTCTCTAAATTTAGCCTAATTGGATACATAGTAAGAGGGATCAAAGCCAACCGATTTTCAGGCTGATTGTGCCGTGTGACACAAATACCTGTCCCTAATTTTTTGGGCATTGAATCCTAATTACTTATATGTTTCTATTTGTGCCAAGATTTCATCATCATCAAAGCTACTAGAGATCCTTCTGCACTATTCCGAATAGTCTATTCGTCGCCAATCGAGCTATTAGCACAATTAATGAGATGTTCATCAATTTGGATGCTCATTTTTTATTTTCTGACACTCCAGTGGCCAGCTGCGTGTGATGGCTACCAAAAGTTGGTTTCGATTTACCACCCAATCGCCTTCAACGTAGCCTCCT